GTACCAAGCGAAGAACTTTAGTGCACCTATAGATGCCTAGAGGGACATCTTGTCATAGTTCTGTATATGTTAACAAAGTGAGGCCTAGAGATTGGCTAAAAGCTGGAGGAAAAAGGAGAGAAGAGTCGCATAGGAACACATACAAGTACACGGTTGTACATGATGCATGACTGAAGGTAACAACAGTTACGAGATTGGAAGAATTCTGACCATAGGTTGTGGTATGAGAAAGAGGCCTAAAGGGGGGAATACCCTGGCCTTTGGATTTATTTATAGAACAGTTTCCTAGATGTCAAGGACAATATTAAAGTATTCGTAAGAGATACAGGTTATGAGACAGATAAATCAGTCAGCATTCGAGGACGAATGTTCCAAAGGGGGGAATGATGTTACATCCCATGTTTTCGTACGTGAGAGTACGTCGTAAGTCAATTGATATAAGCTAAAAAAATGAGATTGTCATTGAAAGTACATAACGTAAGTTCATCATATTTTCTTAGAGGTTACAAATCTTTAAGATCATGAATAACAAGTACCAAAAGGGTTGGAAAGCTTAGACGCTAAACGAATTGAAGAAAATAAGTTTCGTCGAAAGTCGACAAGTTTGAAATGCTATAACATATATTCTTGGGGAGAGACTAGGGTGATTAACATGATATGGAGGTTAAGTGATGAGTTATTTTAGTCGTATGATAGTCGTGTGTTATGTTTTTAAGTCAAGCGAGTTGTGGAACAAAAGTTGGCAAAGGTCATCACAAGTTACATTCATAATATGCTGAAATTTAGGTCAAATGTAGATGCACGTTTCCCCCAATATACTTGGAATAAAGGGATGAACTACATATCAAATTAAATATATACGAGTCTAGTTTCTAATGCATTAAACCGTTCATCGATATGACATCGTACTAGAGAGATACTCATATTTTTGCGAGACTGCGCAAGCAGCTCCCATGGGACCCACAAAGTCGGTTTAAACTTCAGCTTGTATTTAGGTCATTTATATGTCGTTTTAACTCATTTTCTCATCCACAATAGTTCCTAAACCCTCCTAAATGCTCTCCAAGGGTTCCTCCATGATTCTAGGGTGAAAACCTAAGATAAAAACATGAATCCAACGCTAGATTTTCCGTGGTGCTTGCTAGATCGTAGTTCTTCATCTTGTGGCTATTTTGGAGGGTTCTTCAAGGGTAAGTAACTTTAGATTTCGTGTTGTTCTTTATGTTTAAGATAAGAATCAGTTCCTCCTTCGTATATATTAGAGTTTCAAGGCGAAATACAAGTATTTACACACCAACTTGAACACAAAGGTTGATTCAAGAAGAGAATACAACTCCTATAGTGTTGTGGTGTGATTGAGGGTTGTTGTGAGCTACATCAGCTGAGGATTTCAATTTGTATCTACTGCCTAAGGTATGTAAATCATGTTCTTGGTTTTTCTTAAGGTCAATCATGTGTTGGTTGAGTTGTTTGAGTGAAAATCTACAAGATAGTAATTGACATGGCATAAGCAATCATTGTCTTTTCTTTGTGGGCTGTGTTGAGGCTATATATATGGGTTGTTGCGGCTAGGAATTGTTATAAATAGTTTCATTATGTTGTGGCTGCTATTGTTAAGCTTATCTATGTGCTAATTCAGTGCATTGAAGAAGATAGCATGAAAAATAAGATGTTGACGGTAAAGGTTAAGGTGCTAGGCATGTGGGCTATATTTGAAGATTATGCTTATGATGTTTTGTGTTGAAAATGATATGGTAAGCATAAGTATGATGTTATATATGTCGTAGGCAAATTCATGGAAAAGGAATTGGATTCAAACCATATTTTGTTAATCGTAAATCGAGCTTGCCGCTCAAAATGGTTGTTGAGCTAATCGGAGAGCTTATTGTGAATTTTATTGTTGTTGTTTGGGTTGTTTGGTGACTTTTGGTAACATATGGGATGTATTACAAATAGGGGAGGTGCTGTCCGTTTTCTTGTAGAATATTGGTTTCTAAATATGAGAGTTACAACGCTTATATGATGACGGCGAAGTCGGTTTACTCATTGTAGACGTAAGAAGATCATATTGAGCTTGCTTGACGATTGGATAGAAGATTCCAAAGGTATGTTAAGGCACTTCCTTCTTTATTTTGGCATAATCTAAAGTGAAATGAATACGCTATTTCATAACGGATCTACTCCTAGTTGACCATGTTGTTCTTTCCTTATAAAGTTATTCTAAGCAAGTATGTATGTTCCTTGAATCCTACTGAGGTTCATATTGATGGTATGGATGTACATAATGTTAATCGATGGTGCAACGACCTTACGTCACTCCGAAAGGTTTAGAACGTGATTCCATGAGTCCAACATGCGTTATATATAGTATCTATTTTACTCTACTGAGCCGCGCTATAGTCGGCCGGGTATGGCAGCTATTGTGCAACCACTAATCAGTTGGGTTTACCGAGCTCCACGTGGCCGAGTACGATTCTACCGAGCCTTATGATGGCCGGGTACGTTTTTACCAAGTCCTCTTTGAGATCGGGTGCGATATGATGATGACGCCCACAGAGGCGTATGTTTTTAAAAGTTTATGTGTGTGTGTATATATATATTATGCATTTCATGTCAGTAGCCCCCAGAGGCATTCAGATGTTACAGGTTGTATCTCCTCTATTTCACTTTACATTACTTTTCTGATTTATGCTTTCCTTCCTTACATACCAATAAGCTGAAGAGTTGAAGGGATTCAAAGAAAAGTAATGATTCAAAGCATGGAGAAATCAAAGAGGGAGAAAATGAATGTCATGATCAAGAAAGAGTGATGTTAAGACTCTCTAGTTCCCCAGGGAAAAATGCCTCAAGGAATTGGCAAAGCATGAGTCGAGAACAAAAAATGGAGTGCTTAAGGAAAGATGAACATGTTCTATCATAGCATATCCAACTTAGTCCAAAGCCTTCATTGCATTTCGAAAAAGCCCTACGTGATTTCAAGCCAAGTGAGCTTAAATTAGTAGTGATCTACATTTGGGGCAAGCCTATGGTACTTAAAGTCGTACTTGAGACATTCTTTTGAGAGAGATGAGTGAATCTTTCGCAAATCTTTGGATTGAGTGCTAAAATTCTTAAGCGAGATAGGCTAACGGAGAGTAGAGGAAGAGGAGTTTGGGATCCACAATGACCTACATGAAAGAGCGAGCTTCCTTGGTGAGTAAATTCAACTCTTGATGCTCAAGTGTCATATTAGAACTATTTGTGCATATGATTTTAACTTGTTGCCTAGTTGATAACTAATAAGTGGTGTGGGTAATTGTTGGTCCCAATTGATGTGTGAATCACTCACCTTCGATTAGCTGGAATGGATCTTAACTTGTGGTGGTGGGAACTAATTTATTTGCTTGAGGACAAGCAAAAACTTAAGTTTGGGAGAGTTGATAAGTGAGGATTTTGACTACTTATTAGCGCCTTTTAGATTTTGTTTTAGTCCAAAAGCGTTTAGTTGTGTTCCTGAAAACTGATGAAATGTGCTTAATTGCAGGAATATTAGAAGATGGACTCCCGAAATGAAATCCAACTCAAAAATTAGTAATCTTAACTCAAGGCCATAAAAGGCATAGAAGCCCAAAAGTGCGGACCGCAGAATATCATCTGCGGCCGCATATGTTGAAGGAAAAGCCAACAAAGTTTGGTGCAAATTGCGGTCCGCACATGAATTGTGCGGCTGCAAAAGATGGCTAGGACCAAAAGTTCAGAGAATGTGCATTCCAAGTCCCCTAGAAGTGCGGACCGCACAGGAATTGTGCGATCGTAATAGAAGAGCTACGCGGTCGCAGATATAGAAGTGTACACCACAAAAAGAGTGCCTTGCTGCCGTAGATCAGAAGTATGAGGCCGCAGACCTCCAGTTCCTGACAAGTGTAAGAAAGCTGCACACCGCACATGAAATTATGTGGTCGCAGAACCTCCCGAAGGGCATTTTTGTCCTAAATTTCTAGCCCTGTATAAATAGACGAATTTCACAATTTTAGGTCAACTTTTGACATCAGCAACTAGAGTAGCCTTTTCTCTTTGCTTCTTTTAGTAGTCTTACATATTTTGGGATATTTTAACATAGATTTTATCATTTTGATTTTACAATATGAGTTTACTTAGCATCTCTTCTTCTATTTCTTCAATTTCAAGCATGAGTAGCTAGATTTTTACTAGGGTTAACCCTAGTGTATAAACCTCATGGGTATTTAATTTAATTCTTGTTTATGGTTGGGTGTTTATTATTTAGCCTTGTTCATACTTTAGTTTGTGGAATTAATGGTTGCAAATATTAGTTTATGCCTATTTGACTAAGTCTCTACTTAAGAAAGAGAGATTTAGTCTAGGAAAACTTGACTAACAAAACTTGGCTAACAAGAAATTGGGTCAATCGAGAGATTGATAATCCCAATTAAAGGGTTCAACCTAGAGATAGTAATAACCCGACTTGAGCTTTTATCACCCGTTTTGAGCAATACCCATTTGGACTTGAGAAAGCCAAATAGGCAAAATCACTCTCTTAACGAGAGGTATTGAGTGAGTAAATTGAGTGTTGATAGCTATAATACACTCCGATCAACAAAACAAACATTAAGGTTGATATCCCATTAGGCAAACATCTAGGTGATGGTCATAGCCTTAGGCTTTTTACAAAACTTGAAAAACAATAAAAACAATTTCCTAGTTTCATTTCTTAGCTTTGCAATCTTAGTTTAAAATAGATATAGAAACCACCCCAATTTGTGAAAGTGTAAATTGAGATAGTTCAAACTCACGTACTATAATATATACTCCTAAATCCCATATATATCTCCCTGAGGAAATCGACCCCGACTCTTGTTGGGTATTACTATTGCAATCGACCGTTTCATATCCTTGATTTGAGGTGTGAATTGGAAGATTAGTGATCAGAGAATAAAGCCAACAAAATGTCACATCTCAAAGAGAGACGAAGCAGGAAGCATCTGCCTTTCATGTATCAGGCAACACACAATCAGCCAAATGAGGAACCAGAGACAACCAACGACCAAGATGTGGTCACTGCCAAAAGATTGGTCATGGGAAAAGCCAATGTTTTGAGGTCATAGGCTATCCGGCAAACTGGAACACTAGAAGGTTAGGTGTTAAAAGGGTATGGCAGGGGTCGATCAAATTTAGGGGAGGTACTGCCCGCGCTTCACATTTTGCTTCTATCAACATGCAATTGGTTCCAGAATCCACCGAGAACCAAACTAAGGTACAGATAGCAGGTTTCACTATGGAGCAGATCAATCAGCTCTTTAACATGTTTAAGGAGAAGCAACAAAAGGATCCGATTTCAACACAGAGTGGTAAGGAAAATTTTAATAATTGTTGGTTGATCGATAGTGGAGCGTCCCACCATATGACTCCACACAGATCACTTTTGAGGAATATTTATAAATTGCATCCACCAATAGACATTGTTATGCCCAATCGAGATAAGTTAAAAGCAAATGAAGCAGAATCATCTGTGATAAAAAGCGATTTAACTCTAATTGATGTGTTGTTCGTACTTTCATTTGCTTGCAATCTTATTTCCGTCCATAAACTTGCAAGAGATAGCACATGTATGATAATCTTCTTTTCCAATGGGTGTTTCATACAGGACCTTACTCTGAAGAAGCAAATTGGAAATGGTAATCTCGCCAATGGTGTCTACTACTGCATCAAGCTGTAATTTGGTAACTACTCAAAGGAATGAAGAGAGTCTTTGGCACGCACGGATGGGTCATCCTTCACATAATAGCATCCTGAAGATATCCACTTTAATTGGTGTTAGTTTTAATAAATATTTTACTTTGCCTTGTGATTATGCTATAGAGCAAAACAAACAAGAGCTCTTTTTGATATTAATAAGAATGAAGAATCTCAACCTTTTGCATTAATTCACTGTGATTTATGGGGAAGATACAAAACTCCTTCGATTCTATGTGCGCACTATTTTTTCACAATCGTGGATGATTATAGTCGTGGTGTATGGGTATATCTTCTTAAGAAAAAGAGTGAAACATGTAACCTAATAAAGGACTTTTGTGCCATGGTTGAAAATCAATTTGGTTTGAGAATACAAAAGGTAAGAAGTGATAATGGGAATGAATTTATGAGTAGTTGTTTTCAATCATATTACAAACAGTGAGGGATGATATGTGAGACTTCTTTGTGTAGGAACTCCACAGCAAAATGGAAGAGTTGGGAGAAAACATAGGCATATTTTGAATGTAGCTAGAGCCTTGCGGTTCCAAGCTAACCTACCTCAAGCTTTTTGAGGAGATTGTGTGCTCACAGCCGCACATTTAATTAATAGAACACCTACGAAAGCCAATGAAGGTAGAACACCTTATGAACTGTTGTTTAATAAGGTGCCTACACTAGGCTGCCTTTGTGAATGGGTCTGAAAGCACACCAAAGGCAATAAATGAGTTGAATGAAAGTAATTCAACTTCGATCATTGAGAGTTCAGAACAATTAGGTGAGGTACAGCTTGAGAATTTGAGCGATACAACAATTGAGACAACTCAAGGAAGGAAGACAAATACGCGTCAAGCAACAACCCTCGTACTTGAAGGACAATGTATGCCATGCTACCTCCAAGCAAGACCCAAAGGAAGATGCTCACCATACTGTTTCATCAAGTAAGTTGTATCCACTTTCCAAATATCTATCATATGATAAATTCTCATCTGTGCATTGTGCATATCAAGTGGCCATTACTTCGCATGATGAGCCAAAAACATTTTCTCAAGCAGTACAAGATGTTCTTTGGCGAGAGGCAATGGTTAATGAAATTGTTGCACTTGAAAATAATAAAACCTGGGAACTTAAACCACTTCCACAAGGAAAAAGGGCTGGATACAAGTGGGTTTTTCGAATTAAATATAGAGCAGATGGAACGTTAGGGCTCTACAAGGCAAGGCTCGTGGCAAAAGGTGTTACCTAAGTGGAAGGAGAAGATTACAATGAAACCTTCGAGCCCATTACAAAAATGGATACTGTCCGTTGTCTGCTAGTTGTTGATGTCGCTAGAGGTTGGCTGATTTATTAGTTAGATGTACACAATGCGTTCTTACATGGCGACTTAGATGAATAGGTGTACATGACACCACCACCAGGACCTAAGCCCAAAGATCCACAGCTAGTTTGCAAACTGAGGAAATCGATTTATGGTCTTCATCAAGCATCTAGAAATTGGTTTGCAAAGTTATCGTCGGCCTTGGAAGATTATGACTTAAAAATATGTAAAATCAAACACTCATTATTTGTTTATGAGCAAGGCTCGACATTTCTACCAGTATTGGTATATGTAGACGACATAATACTCGCTGGTAACAATGCAGATCAATGCGAGCAGTTTAAAAGCTATTTGAACCAGTGTTTCTACATCAAAGATCTCGTCAAGCTCAAATAATTTTTGGGAATTGAGGTTGCAAGGTCACCAAAAGGATTGTTTCTAAATAAAGAAAGTATGTACCGGACATATTTAAAGAAGCTGGGTTATCAGAGGCTAGGCCAAGTCCTACTCCCATGGAGCAACGTCACCAATTATCAGAAGAAGGAAGTGAACCCCTTCTCGATCAATCTCAATATAGGAGGTTAGTTGGGAAATTATTATACCTAACCATTACAAGGCCGGGCCTTACTTAAGTTGTCCATATTTTAGGTCAATTCATGCAAAATCCAAAACAAAGTCATTGGGCACATACTATTCGGGTGCTTAAATATTTAAAAACCAATCCTGGGCAAGGAGTATTGCTGCCATGTAATAACAGTTTGCAGTTAAAGGCATATTGCGACTCAAATTGGGCAATCTGTCCAATGACTCGTAGTTCTATTTTAGCATATTTTGTAATGTTAGGGACAACACCTGTAACATGGAAATCCAAGAAACAAACCAAGGTTCCTCGGTCATCTGCTGAAGTAGAATATAGGTCAATGACGAACACAACGAGTGAAATCATTTGGTTGAGAGGGCTTTTAAATTTCTTACAGGTACCACAAACAATGCCCTCAGAGTTATTTTGTGATAACCAGGTTGCATTGCATATTGCATCCAACCCAATTTTTCATGAGCGTACGAAGCACATAGAAGTGGATTGTCACTTTGTGCGCAAACGTATTGCCTCGGATGACTTGATCACTTGTCATGATTCAACAAAAGCTCAGTTAGCAAACATGTTCACTAAAGCGTTGGGACAACGAGATTTTCATACATTCCTTGGAAAGATGGGCATTTGTAATCCATATGCGCCACCTTGATGGGGAGTATCAGCAGGAATAAGAGAGTTATACTAACTAATGGATAAGTAACTCATCCTTGTAGATAAGTCATTAATGTAAATAAGATTATCACAGGCTGTAGATATAGTTCATCCAGGATGGCCTCTTGTATGTATTTAAATTGTACCATGACTGCAACAAATTGATGAGTTAATTCTTCTCAAATAAACTCTAGTTTTCACAAATACTTATACACATTATCTAATGAACGAGTAAAAAAGAAGTGTCATCAATTCCAATTGAAACGTTAAAAAACCTATTCATCTACCCATTTTTAAGTAAGTTAAATTGTTACTTTATTTATTTATCTAAAAAAAATTCTTTCCTTTTATATGAAAAAATTTACTTTTTTATTAAAAGTACTAAATATTATTTTTAAATACCTATAAGTATATTATTTTTGAAAATAGGGCCCCCGAATTTTGGGGCCTAAGGCACAAGCTTTACTGTAAAAATTGCACGGGGCGCCCTATTTGGTCGCCCCGATTTAACCTATACCCATTTTTTAAAAAAGTTTTAACTTATACCCACTTTTTAAACAACTAAAGCCCCCTTTCTCCTCCTCCTTCGTTTTCTTCTTCTTCTTCTTCTTCTTCTTCTTCTTCTTCTTCTTCTTCTTCTTCTTCTTTCTTCTGTTGCTGTTGGTGCTGCTATGAAACTCAGTTCATGGGATGATTGCCATAAGTATGTTTATCAGATTATTTAAAAACAAAGTATAAATAATTACATAAGTTAGTAGACAATAATTTGTGAATATTTCCACGTAATATGTTCTTTTCACGTTTATTGTTTTCAAAATTTATGGTTTCGATATTGTTGGCAATCTGATTATTTTATAGTAGTAATACACTATGAAAGAATAAGGTAATTATTTATCTAGTATGTTAGAAAGCTTTTTCAAAAACTTCAGCTTATATAGTGCTGAAGTTTTTACAAATGAACTAAATAACTTCAGCATCTTCTGCTTAAGTTTTTGAAAAAACTTTATGACAAAACTAATGAATCCAGGACAAAAAAACTTCAGCTTATATAGTGCTGAAGTTTTTACAAATGAACTAAATAACTTCAACATCTTCTGCTGAAATTTTTAAAAAAGCTTATCCAGGACAAAAAAACTTCAGCTTATTTAGTGCTGAAGTTTTTACAAATGAACTAAATAACTTCAGCATCTTCTGCTGAAGTTTTTGAAAAAGTTTTATGACAAAACTAATGAATCCAGGACAAAAAAACTTCAGCTATTTTAGTGCTGAAGTTTTTACAAATGAACTAAATAACTTCAGCATCTTCTACTGAAGTTTTTGAATAAGTTTTATGACAAAACTAATGAATCCAGAACAAAAACACTTCAGCTATTTTAGTTCTGAAGTTTTTACAAATGAACTAAATAACATCAGCATCTTATCCAGGACAAAAAAACTTTAGCCCCGTCTATTAGAATGCTGAAGTTTTGCGTGATTGCCTTTGCTACTTCAGCCCCGTATGCTGAAGTTACGCGAAAAAGTGGATACGCTTGCAATTTTTTTTTGCAAAGCGGGCACAAGTTAAAACGTGACCCAAAAAGCGGGTATAGATGCAGATCCCCCAGCTTTACTACTGATAAGGTTAGAGCAGGCCCTGACCAAACAACCCCATAGAGTTTTCCTATAAAGTATTCCCTCCAGTCCACAATAAATGGCCAATTTGCCTTGGGCACACCCATTAAGGAAATACTAAATTCTAGACAAAAATAGTTAGTTTGACTAAACTAGCCTTAATTAAATATTGCAGCATAATTTAATGTGATGAGTAAAAAACTTTTTTAGGGATACATACGTAAGGGCAATTTTGGAAAAGCAAATTGAATTTTTTCTTGATTATATTAATGGACACTTATTTTGGACCAAAATAAAAAGGCAAATTAGTCACTTCTTGTTGACCGGAGGAAGTATAAACTTTGAGATACAATTTCCTTGTTTGTTTTTAATTGGTTTCGTTCTCATTTTTTTGCTGAATTTTGTTTATATCATTATTACTTTCCTTATTATTGCAAGTTATACTACATTTTTCATCCACAAATAAGGAGGAAGCAGAAAATTATGCCCTTACATGACCAGTCAAACTATCTGCTTCAGATTTCTAGAGAAAAAACAAACTGCTGACGTGGTAAAGGGGTATATTATTATTTTTTCCACAGCGAGCTTATCAATAATTTATGACAGAAAGGTTTTTTCACCTAAAAAAGACATTTGGTATGGAGAAATTCATGTACCATAATTTTGGAAGAGAAAGACCGCCTCCTACTTGCTTGGCCAATGTAACCTGCCATTGACTTTGACTCATTTTGACCTTGGGTCTACGCTATACTTCAATTCTATTTGGAAGTTGAAAAGTATAATTTATTCATGAAGAGGTTTTCATTTTTCTTTTCCCCCCTCTTTCGTCTTTTATTCCCCCCCTCCCCACCATCTTACCCCCCCCCCCCCCTCCCCCAAAGTCCTATGTCCACATATATGTGGAACGACTATCTGGAGTACTTTTTACTAATTGGTCATTGTTTTCCTAAGAGTATGATGTAAATATATTTTCAGAGGCAATTTATGTTACGACCACAAATACATATACTTTGTTGACA